AAAGGCAGATTCAGTGGTTTCATATATAAAATACCTTTTCACTTCCTGAACATTGCCTGTAGCCTTGCTAATTTATTGCCATGAAAATATTGCTACTACTTAATGCACTAGTACTTTTGTCAATAGGCAGCTTTCCCCAAGGCATATTTGAGAACGCTCTGCTAATCAGAGTTGATGCAGTTATTCCAAAGCAGCCAGGTCTTTAGAGAAAGGTTCATGTTTTATTCTAGTATAGGTGAGTGCTGCCATTTCTGTGAAGCACGGTATTTTTAATTCACTGAATTCAATTCTGCAGATATCTAAAGCAGTAAATAATCTGACCCCCGACTTAGTTTGAATTGGTGTGTTTCAAAGCAGTACTGTTGGCATCTTTACCTTCTAATATTTATGTGAAATATTCCTCATTTTGTAATGACAAGGATTACAGAAAGGTTCTCTCATAACACAAATCTGTTCTATCCCATCAGCACAGACCTTAAAAAAGCATGGTTGGGTGCCTAACTAGATTCACTTGAATCTGATTTCCTACTTTCTGCATCTGCTTGAACTCTTGAGATTATGACCTTAAATGCAGCTGAAATTTTAGTGTTTGTTTTCCAAGCATGCTGATAATCATAAACAACACAGCGAGTGAAGATGAGGTCATATACACATGTCACACTACAGTTTTATTCTCTCTAATAAATATTGAAATCTACAGCAGTATAACTTTACTGAGGCCAAGCAAATCATCTTAATTGGGATGGGAGCTTTTAATGCCTGTGTATCTTCAGTGATTTTTAATGTATTTGCAATTCTGTGTAAACGAAAAATTGAATAAAGTTCCTCAAGAACAGGTTAGGCCATTTATTTCAATTAGAAATAGTAATGAAATTCCAGTAAACTATTAAATGTCACTTAATCTATATTTGAGATAAATAGAATACTTAATTTCTCTCGACATGGTCCACAGTGAGGTAGCCTTCTTGTCTTTATCTTGATCAAAGCGGTGATTCCCTGCCTTCCATACCACAGTGACATTTAGTGGCATTACTCCTGTTCAAACCCAGCACGGACATCATCTGTTTTGCAACAAGCCCACCAAGATAAGAAGCGCGTCTTTAAGGAAGTAAAGGCTCTACCCTCTTCGTTCCAGCTGACTGAGATCAGCACTGAGCTTTCCTTCACTCAACATAAACGGAATCCGGGGGCAGGGGGAGGTGTTGGTGTTCATTTTTGTCCCTTTCTGCCATCAGACCCATCCCCCAAAATTTCTACGTGGCAGAAGAATACTAATACTATTCCTACACCAGACATAATTAAGTTCATAATTAAGGACAGAATTACAACCAGCAAGGAGAATTTGTTTCAAAGCAGCTAGATGTTTCTGGGCACACTTGACATAAAGAGGTCCAACAGATTCTTGCCTGAAAAGCATTCAAGTCCATCACTTCTTACACTCATGAGACTTCTAAGGTGATCAGACAAAGAGAGCAGGCTTGAAACTCAAACAGAAGGCTTTGAGTACTAAGAAACTGCAATTGACTTCTGCAGAGTCCTTCTCAGTTACAGTTATAGCCCTTGGTTCTATTTTTCAAAAATATAAAAGTTTCAATATGAGGAAGTGAGGCCTTGTTCTAATTTCCATGGAAATAATCAAAATGACTTGTGATAATTCTCTGTGTCTAAAGTCACCCACACTGCTGGCTTGAATTCAAAGTTTACATGTCTTTAAGAGATTTACATTAAGCTGTGCTAAGTAGTTGTTACTTTTTCCTTCTGACTGTAATCAAAAAGTTAAACTTACCATGTCAATACATTTCTGTCCCTACCACTGTGTGGTTTCACCCTTCATCTGAAAATACAACAGCAAGACTGAAAGGACAGCAAATAATATTTTTTATACCTCCACATCTACGTCTAATATACACATTTTTTGATCTTTTTACAAGTCTACAGCTCAAGAAGCCAGCAGAAGGATATAAATGAGAGAGAAGAGCAGCATTTCCAGTTCTCAGGGTCATCTCCAAATAAAACTCCAAAATTGTCGGAGAACAATATAAATGAATGCATTAAGGAAAACATGCTTCAGGACAAAAATAAAATGTGTATACATATCCTTATATACACATGCACACACACAAACATGCTCCTCTACAGTACGTTACAGCCACAGCTGTTACGAGACTTTATATTAAAAGCAAAAAAAATTATGGTATTCTCCATGTAAACCATGGAGAGAGGTGGCAGGCTACTTAGTGGATCAGCAGAAAAACCGTAGATAGATGTCAGACACTTCAGTGTGTCCTACACTCCAGGATATCCACAGGACCATCTGCAGGTGGACATGTCTTTTGATAAATGTACATGCGACACAAACTTCAAGCTGATTTTTTAATACTATGCACAGTAGAGAATTAATCCAGGTTTTCTAACATGCGGAACACTGCATGTTCTATGTAAAAAGTATAATACAGGTTGCTGAAATTATAGCCAACATTTTCTAAAGGTTCATATGTATATATATATATGTATGTATGTATGTATAAATAAAATAAGAGACACTTATAATATTATTCTTTCACATTCTTCTTACTCTAAACAACATCCAGTGAATAATGCACAGTGATATGATCACTTGTTCTTCCCTTTAAGCTGTTGTGGAAATGTATTGCTACAATGGGTGACATCCAGAACAGCACATGTTGAGCAATACACATTCAAACCTTGCCAGCTTTATGGTTTCTTATAACATGCTATGATGTGAAGTGACGCAGAGGAGATGGAGAAAGTTTTTCTATTACTCTAAAAAAAGTGATGTTATATGTATATATCATCCAAAATAAACACATTGACAACACAGGCTGAAATAAAACTAGGAAATTAAGTTTTAGTTCCTCTTTCTATCTCTACATACAGCATTTAAAGGTAAACTCATTAAACCCAAGTGACACTTTCTGTGCAAGATGAGCCTGTCTTAGCAGTTAGCTGGCACTATTATCAGAACCCATCAATTTTAAATAAGGTGAGCTAAAGAAGCAATCAATGCCAAAGATTTTAATTTCCTCGATGTCATAAGCTGGCATCTCAGAAATTTTAAAATCCCTGTAGAGGAGGTATGGAAGACAGAACGTAGAGGATCCACTTGGTAAGATGGAACTGGTGACTATGAACACATCTACACACAAAATTTAAAGTGAAACATATCTATGGAAGCTAATGTGCTGCAACTACATTGATAAGCAAGAACTTATATAAAAGGTTGTTAATGTAAGTAATGGTAATTTAAGAGGGCAAGGGTAACCTAAGTTCAGTGAAATAGCACTTTAAAGACGAAAAAAAACCCCTCTGAAGTGATATAGTAACTTTTGGAAAATGCTGTATTTAGACTAGACATGTATGTTCATGGGTGTTCTGTTAGATTTGGCTACTGTTCTATCAGATTTGAAACACTGTATCTGACAATGTCTTCAGCCAGCTCTTTCAGAAAAAAATGAACAAATACATATCTCAAACCAGCCCTAAAACTTACTGTCCTATTAGTCTTACTATGCGTACTTCCACATAGTTATTCAAGCTGAATTTCACATGCTACCCTCATATCCAGGTCCCTTATGGCAGATAATTAAATCTGAAGCAATTCTTCACAATCCTACTAATTACTATAAAGCCAGACCTACAGATTTCCCTATTACCTTGCTTCCATGTCATCTAGAAGCTTTTCAGAAGTAAAAAGTAGCCATAACTTAAAAGGTGAACTGCATTCTGAAAAATCTGACTTCAAATCATTAAAAGAAAATATCAGTAACTTTGGTCATCAAACAACTTTGAAGTTACTTCATGCTGAACTCTGAAGCAAATATATATTATAATACTTTATCTTCTTTCACACATCACTTTCTAATCCATGGCACCACCCATTTAATTCTACAATTTTATTTATTCTACTTACCATGTTTTAGCAGGAAATCTACTGAAAGCTTTAGACAAAACAATTTCTATCTTGTAAAACACATTAATCTTATGTTCTAACCTTTTCAAAGGATAAGAATTAGGTAAATGTTGAGGTTTCCTCAAACTGCAATATACTCTTCCAAGGCTTGCACTTTTCTGCCCTTTCAGCAGAACATGTGTCTTGGATATGGACTGAGCTGCATCTGGAGTGGCTGATGAATTGTTTTGACATTCACCAGTCAGTACCATCCTCCAGTAAATTAATACAAACAACGGTCAGAGTTGCTCCCTTAGCCACACTACCGCTTGCTTCATAAGCCATTTCACCAACAGAAACTTGCACTAACAGACTAATAGAAGCTGAGCGAGGCTATCCTTCTCTTATACAATGGCAAAGTTGTGGAGAAAAAAAAAAAAATTACAAAGACTACCCTGCCAATCCTGGGGCTTTGCATTGAAGCCCCAAACTGGACTGGATTAATAGAACTGGTTAAATAAATAAATAAATAGGCGAAACAGAAACGCACCACCCATGAGCCCAGGTCAGGCCAGGAAGAGGTGGTGGATCCAACCCTCTTTGGCCCCACTCCACACGGGGCTGGCTCTCAGTGCAGGCCACATTTCCCTCAGAAAACACCACAGCCATAACCAGAGCCGCGCGGCGGCGGCGGCGGCACACGGCTTGGGACCGGGCCCTGGCCAGAGCCCCTCACCTCCGGGCGGAGACCACCACGGACTCGCCACCTGGCCCAGGGCTTTGCTCGGCGCCACCACCGCCGCCACCCGGCAACGGCCCCGCCCCGCGCCCAACGGCCCCGCCCCGCGCCCAACGGCCGCGCCCGGGGGCCACCGG